CTTGATAATTTTTAAATCATTACATTTATTTGTTTAAAAAATTAGTGTTTAAATTTGGGGAGGGAAAGAACATAGAAGGATTTGCCTATATAACAACTATGTGGCTGTATGATACCTCCTAATAACAAACAGACTTTGGGGAAAATGGGCAATGAAACAGGGCTGCAGCGTACATCATGTATGGTAAAGATTCAAAGTAATTATACTTATTTTAACGAAGACTAGTTGATATGCCCTCTACCCGCTTCATATTTTCAGTAGGTTCTTAATATCAAAATATCTGGGATGAGAACTTTCTTTAGCTGGGAGATTTCAGACATTTAGTTTGGGATTCAGCTATCTGCATATGGTGGTATGGTGCCGCCATCGTCACCCTAGGCAAAACAACTGTTGTCCAAGAGCAGCAGTTGGAAGCCCAGCAGAGTGATCTGTGGCACTTTCAACACTGGTAGTTGGTGTCATTTTAGGTAATGGAGTTACTCTCCTTAGGGTGAGTTTCAGTTTGAAATTGATACTCAAATTTTCGTGCTTACATTTAAGTGTCTGCAGGTGAGAGGGGTATCTAAACTCATGTTAGAGCCAGGGGGCATCTGGTCAATACGGTGAGTAGAGCCTGTAGCTCTTGCATTGCATCTGCCTGTCTTGTGCAGATGTCTTGTTTCCTAAGGCTCTTCAAATGGGGCCTGTGTGCGAGTACCTTGAATCAAGCTGCGGTCAGCATTCCTGATGAGATCTCCTTCACCAGAATGGAAGCTCTGACATAGTCTGCAGTGCTCCTTGTACACATGTAGCTACTTCTGACTGTCTTAACCTGAAACTTAATCATTCCGTTGCATGCTGATTTTCTTCTCTTCCAGCACACCAATTCAACAATTAGTTTCCACACTGAAGATCTTTCTGTTTTAATGAATTAGGGCTCAGTTAACAAGCAGTCCAGCTACTTTTTTCACATTTGCATGTAGTTCTGTACAACCCATAAAAACCTCTTTTATTCTCCTTCACTCAGGCTGTTGCCCTTAAAAATCCCCAAAGAAAATCTGGCAGAGCATGCATGTAATTTTTCTGTTGGTTTAACAGAACAAACAACATCCACCACCTAACATTAGTCAAGAGTCATGCTCTGTGAAAGCTTCTTGCCCAAACTGAGTGCTCTGGCAATCCTAAGCTGTTATTCAAGGGATGTTAGTCAAGCTATATTTACATTCTAATCGTGCTTTCCATATCAGATTTATACTGATGAAATAAGCCAGATTTTGATGGGCTTTGTGTGTGCACCTGCTCAGAGTGCTGTTTCAGCAGCACTAGATTCCAAATCTATTCAAGACCCACCTAGTGGTCTAGAATTCCTGTTTGGTTATGAAGTATTCAAAAAGATTCAAATCCTTAGTGATCATGAACATTTTTGTGACCTTTAAACTAGTACCATTAAGTACGTGCTTGGTGCGATGTTATGACCCATTATATTCTTTTGGAATATAGATAAGGAACGATAACCAGTTTTGATGCTCCATACTACCATCTCTGAGAGAGGAAAACCCAATGATATCTTACTGTTTGTAGTTGGTACTCCACTGGCATATCAGAGAAAGAGGGGTAATTTCACAGTTGGTAAACACTGTTGGTGTCTTCCCGTCTCCCATTTTAGAACAGGGAGTATAAGGAGATAAGCGTCTGGTGTTAAAATGTGGCTTGCATGAATTCCCTTGTTTTCCTCCCACCTATAGTGTAAGACTACTTGAAAGCTCTGTTTGCATCAAGACAAATGTGACTAAGGTAATTCTAGCAGCAGAATGTAAACAGATCTTGAAGAAATGAGAAAGGTTGGGTGAAATGTTAGGTTTGTACATTCAGCAGTAAAAATTCAGGTCTGATCTTCTAGTGGCTTTTTTGTTTGTTTTTCTTTTCAAAAGTAGTGAGAATTTTCTTTTCTGCCTAACTGAAATTCGTGAGCGTAGGAGGCAAAACGAAACTGAAAAAAATGTCAGCATAGTTTCAGTATCTGAACTCTACTTAATATTTTCTGCTATAAAATGTCAAATGTGGCAGGATAACATCATCCGTGTACCATGTCTGTTACGATACTGAGAAATTGGAGTCACGTTTCCTGTGCAATGGCATATACTTGTAACGGTAGACTTGCTCCGTCTTGAACCTCAGCCTTGTAGAGAGAGATCTCTAGTCACACCATTTCTGTTGGTCTGCAGTTCTGTTATACTTCTGTTCTCTTTAATTGGCTCCTGCAGTTGCTTCTTGTTCACTATGTCAGCCTTCTGCCTAGCATTTACTTCACAGAAGCTTCCTCATGCCCTTCACTGGTAGGGGAAGTGGTGTCCATTTCCTGAGAAATGAGTTGGAGTGGAAAGGATTTTCTTTGCTCCTATTGATAACTGTATATGCCCTGACTGTTTTCAAAGTGAGAAAGAACCAAAAGTGGATTTTAAGTAGTGATTGCTCATTCCTCCATCTTTAGTTTTCTATTTCAGTTTGATTAGGCCTCAGAAATGAACGACTGTATCTGAGCTGCATTGCATTCAGTGTATCAATAGCAAATCAGAGAATGTATATGTGGACAAAGTAAGCTTTTGTTTTCAGATATCCGCCTTGACTTTAAAGGAATTCAATTTCAGGGAAGGGATGGGAGAAACTGCAAGATAAATTTGGAGTTAGATGCTGCAACAAAAACGCTTTGGTACGTCTGGCCCTGACTTTCAAGTCTGTGCTGCAGAGTAGAATTCAGAACCCTACATTAGGCTCTTAGGTTGTTTTCTTACAGGGATCAGGGAAAATCACCTGTCTTTAAACTGCACCTAAAATACTGAGTGGACAGATTGGGTGAGGAGTGGCCTGAAGGTAGTTAGTAACAAAGACAGAATATAGGTGAAACCTAAAGCTTCCCCTCTTTCCTCTTGTAGGTAGGTATTTTGCTCAAGACTGTAAAGGCACATCTCTATTCACTTTGCTCCCCTATCTATGACCAAATTCCTGAAAACAAGTATTTACTAATTTTCAAATAGTTGAACTAAGCAGGGGTTTCTGGTTTAAGATGCAGCTGGAGGAGGAGGGGTTGTTGACAGTCTGGAATTTAGATCACTCCCCCAAAAAAACAGGAGACCGGTCAACTTATTTTCATGAGATCTCAATGAGTAAGAAATCTTAAGCAAAGGAGAATCAGCCTATACCTGCCTTCCCTTCCTTCTTTAACATATATAAAAAAGTTGTAGCGTAATCCTGAAATTTTTCATGTGAATTAACTTATTTCACTTCACTAACTGTTATATATTTATTGCTTATGTAGTGAAAATCTTTGTACTTTGTATGGAGAGAAATAAATTCTACTCAGGGGGCAGAGGGGCATGCCAAAGAGACATAATGCTTTTATTTGGAGGGCAATACCAATAATACTTGTTTTGAAAATATGAGTTAATCTCTAGTTTTTTATTTTTCAGGATCAACAGATTGCATATGCTATTCAACTGTTGGCATTTCTGATCCAGTAACATCAGCTCTTCATATTATTGTAGGTGGGTGGTCACAGTTCACTATTTTGTTATGAAAATGATTAAAATAGCCAAAAATAGTAATCCCATTTAGTTCTTTCTGTATGATTGCGAAATATAATTTGAACATAATGGCTGAGTTGAAATAAAAAGCTTTGTCTGGGATTTAAGTCTCTAATTTGAAATACAGAATTGCTTTCTCTACATTGTTTTCAAGGGATTGTAATGTTTTGAAATTTTATATCTGATGCTTAAGTCTTCATGCATTCTGGCATGCTTTTGAGAATAGCAGTAAAATACAATAAGCAGTGTAAGTTGTTGGACTCTTTCTCTCAGAGAAAGCTATGACAAGTGCATGTACACTTGAATAACAGTGTTTTGTACTAGTTGCCCAATTGTCCTGTGCTTCCATGCCAAGTTAGAAGTGTGGCCTCTGCTTGACTGGAATTAGCTGACAATTCCCCATTCTTACCATCTGTACGTCATATATTTGAGGAGGAACTAGGGAGGAAAACAACTACTCTTCAATAAATACTTTTTGATAAGTTGTCATCGGTAGGGGTGCTGACATTGCCACTTCTCAAAGTCCTCTAGTAATGGAGTCCCTGAACTGCATGGAGGCTGAATCATAGAATCGTTTGGTTGGAAAAGACCTTTAAGATCATCAAGTCCAACCGTACCTGTCCACTACTAAAGCATGTCTCTAAGCACCTTGTCTACCTGTCTTTTAAATACCTCTGGGGATGGTGACTTGACAAGGTCCCTGGAGGACCGTTGGCAGTATCACCCATTCGAGTGCCTGATAACCCTTTCAGTGAAGAAATTTTTCTAATTTAAACCTTCCCTGGCACAACTTGAGGCCATTTCCTCTCATCCTATCGCTTCTTCCTTGGGAGAAGAGACCAACACCCACCTCCCTACACCGTCCTTTCAGGTGGTTGTAGAGGATGATCAGGTCTCCCCTCATCCTCCTCTTCTCCAGGCTAAACAACCCCAGTTCCCTCAGCTGCTCCTCATAAGGCTTGTGCTCCAGACCCCTCACCAGCTTTGTTGCCCTTCTCTGGACACGCTTCAGTGCCTCAATGCCCTTCTTGTAGTGAGGGGCCCAAAGCTGAACACCACCCAACTTGGTGTCATCTGCACTTGATTGAGGGTACACTCAATCCACATCCAGATTGTTGATAAAGCTGTTAAACAGAACTGGCCCCAACACTGAGCCCTGGGGGACACCACTTGTGACTGGCCTCCAACTGGATTTAACTGCATTCAGCCCCACCTTTTGGGCCTGGTCATCCAGCCAGTTTTTCAGCAAAGAGTATGCCTGTCCAGGCCACGGAGACAGCTTGGCATATTCAGTGCATTGTGATTTGTGATGTCCATCGTATCTTGCCACATACTGAAGAATCGTAGTCACCCTGTTCTTAATACTGAATTTGAAAAATTGTGCGAGATAGTCTTTAGTTATAACGATGTTGTGTAAGCATAAAGGATAGAATTTCCAAGTGACAATTATTTCATTATTATTTGTTATGGAGTCTTTAACAGTTGCAGTTCTAGGAGCTGTGTTGCAAAGGTTTACACTTGTGCTTCTCTGTTACTAACCTGTGGTTAAATCTGTTCAGCGTATGTAGAGTTTAGGCTGTTGGACTAGGATTAGAGAGAGAGATGGACTTAGTACATCATAGTATTTTAGATGGATTATTAAATGTGCGTATATACAGAAGTATTTAGATTTTTAAGAGTGTTTCTCACTTATGTAAAGGGTTCTTCACAGTAGTCTATGATGGAAGGATGAGAGATGATGGGCATAAAGTGAAACAGAAGAAAAAAGAAAAAAACCCAAACCAAACAAAAAACCTAACAAGCAAAGAAACACCATCACCCCCAAAACCCACCACCACTCCAAAGCTTACCCTATGAGGACATCAGAGAGGTGGTGTACTCTCTGTTCTTAGAGATTTCCAGGACTTGACTGGATAAGCCCTGAGTAACGTGATCTGACCTCACAGCTGAACCTACTGTGAGTGGATGATTTGATGAGAAACCTCCTAAAGCCCCTTCCAGCTTGAATTATCCTCTGATAGTATGACATATGGGATTAAGCAGTATCTGGTAGATGTACAGATACTGCATTGGTCTCTTCTATAACATCTCCTACTGCTATGTGATAAATGAGTGTAAATTCTTCATTATTTATTTTTAGCATATCGACCTTTCTTCTCTTTTAGTGCTTAATGCTGTTTTAATACTAATCACATATTTAATATTTAAAATTATTTTTTCCTTTCTTCATGTATAAGAAATATATATGCATATATATGACATATAAATGTTATGACATAAATACAACATATATTTTGTTATTTTTAAAAAATCTGTAACGTTAAAGTTAATAAGCCTTAATAGAACCTTGCACTTCTAATTTTCATAGGTGACTGTCAGCCTCTGGATGTCTCTTCTGTACATCATAACAACACATTTTTGAAGTACTATGTATCATTGCTGGGTTACGGTTTTTATGGAGATATATTAAAAGATAGTGAAAAGAAGCGGTGGATGGGTCCGATGAGATATGACTACTCAGGTAACTTGTGTAATTATTACATTCTTTTGTCAGCATGTAAACATATTGGAGCAGTTGATATGCTCTCTCCGAACCAAGCTTCTCTGAAGCTTTGAAACGTAAGAGGCAGACTCAACCTGATTTTGAACTTGTGTTACCAAGTACGTTGGATCACATTATGTAAAGCTCCATAACTTGGGGGATAACATTAACAGTGTGCTCATTAAAGTTGTGTTGAACTTGACTATATAGCACAGTTAATTTATTAACTATCAGTTCATATTTTAAGTATTTTATGAGCTTTATAAAGAACTGAAAAGTTTATACTGAACTATTACAAATTATGCTGGAAGCAACCCTAATTCAAATTAATTTAATAAGCTTTTTTAATTAATAAAATTGCTAGTGGTGCTCTGTGTTGTTAATATAAATGCATTGCTATATATCACCTAGCTGCCTAAAAAGTAATAACTTTTCTGTGCTAATAATTTTTACTTTCTTTTCAATCAGAGAGAGATAGGCACTCTTCTGTCTTGGACAGCTGATGGAATGAACTGTTAATTTTTCCTTCTTCCAGCACTGATGATCAAGAGAGCTGAGTGGTTTAGCCTAGTTAGCTAATTGTTGTGGTTTAACCTGGCAGGCAGCTGAACACCACACAGCCACTCGCTCACTCCCCCCCTCCCTCAGTGGGATGGGGGTGACAATCAGAAAAAAAGTAAAACCCATGGGTTGAGATAAAGACTGTTTAATAAAATAGTAGAGGGGGAAAAAAAGTAAGAATAATAGAATATAAAGAATATACAAAACAAGTGATGGACAACGCAATTACTCACCACCTGCTGCCTGATGCCCAGCCTGTCCCAAGCAGCAATCGCTCTCCCCAGCTGGCCAATTCCCCGCCCTGAGCATGATGCCATATGGTATGGAATACCCCTTTGGCCAGTTGGGGTCAGCTGTCCCGGCTGTGCCCCCTCCCAGCTTCTTGTGCCCCTGGCAGAGCATGGGAAGCTGAAAAACCCTCGACTGGTGTAAGCACTGCTCAGCAACAACTAAAGCATCAGTGAGTTATCAACATCTTCTCATACTAAATCCAAAACACAGCACTATGCCAGCTGCTAG